ATCTGGTTGGCCATGGAAATATTTGAATAAAACGGAAACATTTGAATAAAACTGAAAGAGCATATAAAAGTGCGTCCTAACAGGCCCGAGACCGTACCACTGGGGTAACTATGCAAACATAAGCAGAAAAGAGCAAAAGCAACCAGCAGAACAGCATTGGCTGAAAAGACAGTTCACATTAATTTTTCTTTTCTTTTTTTTTTAGATTGTTAAGCCCATTTCTCTAAGAGTTAAAAATTTCAGATGACTACTTATTTTATTATTTATTTATTGAGACAGAGTCTCACTCTGTTGCCCAGGCTGGAGTGCTGTAGTGCGATCTCGGCTCACTGCAACCTCCACCTCCGAGGTTCAAGTGATTCTCCTGCCTCAGCCTCCTGAGTAGGATTACAGGTGCCTGCCACCATGCCTGGCTAATTTTTGTATTTTTGGTAGACATGGGTTTTCGCCATGTTGGCCAAGCTGGTCTTGAACTCCTGGCCTCAAGTGATCTGCCTGCCTCGGCCTCCCAAAGTGCTGGGATTACAGGCTTCAGCCACTGTGCCTGGCTTGACTACTCATTTAAAAAGAAATCTCAGGTATATAAAGTGAAGTGGTATCCTGGTGACAGTGGTAAAGGGGTCCAAACCTGATAATGGGAGAGGGGCTGAGAGAGAAAACACAGTGATTTCAGCACTCTCCATCTAATTAGGTGGTGTGCTCTGTGGAGGGGGGACAGGAAACTAGGAGATAGGGAAGTTTTATGTCCAAGAAATAATTTATCCAGGACTTCCGAGGCAGTTTCAACAATCTCCAAAATTTGTACTGGAAGCTTACTTTTCTTCAGATTTCACATGTGAAATGAAATTAGAAGACATCCTTCAACACATGCACAAGCTCACTAGGGAATTTTCCCTCCGGCTTTATTAAGGTATAATTGACAAATAAAATTGTACATATTTATAGTGTGTAACGTGATGCTTTGCTATCTGAATACACTGTGACATGATTAAATCAAGCTAGGGAAGTTTTTTAAACGCAGAAAAACAGGCATCTTAGTATTTAGGGAGCTCTTAAGAAGTCATCTTGGCCTCTTGCCTTTCACGAGGGTCAGATGATACAAAAGGCCAAGGCCATTTGGGATGGAATAACTCGTTGTAATAGGTAATAACTTTCACAATCAGGGAAGCCTCTTGAAGCCTCTCAGGTGGCAGGAAGCTAAACCTAGTTTCTCTTCTTGCTGGTCAGAGGAACCAGTCTCCGGGCTGGCTCATAGCCTTTCAGATTGTTTGCATGTTGTCTTAGTGCTAAGGTAGTGCTTAGTGCTTTGGTCACTGAGTTCAGTGTTCCCTTGCCACACATGCCTGTCACCTTGGGAGGCTTTGATTCAGTACATCTGGAGTGGGACCTGGAATTCATTTTTATTTTTTCTGAGACATAGTCTCTCTCTGTCACCCAGGCTGGAGTGCAGTGGTGCTATCTTGGCTTACTGCACCTCTGCCTCCCGGGTTCAAGCAATTTTCCTGCGTCAGCCTCCTGAGTAGCTGGGATTACAGGTGTGCACCACCACACCTGGTTAATTTTTGTAGTTTTAGTAGAGACAGGGTTTCACCATGTTGGCCAGGCTGGTCTCAAACTCCTAACCTCAAGTGATCTGACTGCCTTGGTCTCCCAAAGTGCTGGGATTGAGGGAGTGAGCCACCATGCTCAGCCTGGAATTCATTTTTAGATCTGGACCCCAGGGCATGTACAAGAAGGCTCACTGTAGGGCCAAGGAATGGGAATTGGCTAGTGGTTCTATCACCAGTTGAATGGAGGAATCACATGGGATAGATGCCGCCTATGGGAGGCTAGGCAGCCCCGGGGAGCCACGGACTAGATGCACACATTGTAAAATGGCTAGATTTCCAGAACAGTGTGGAGTCAGAAAAGTAGATAGAAGGAAATTTGCTATGTAACACCATTTGTGTAACAATTATGCACATGAAACAACACTGTGTATAAAGAAACCCACATGTTTAAAGACATACATTGAACAGAAGATGAGAGTGGGTATTCTGGAAGAAAGAGAAAATATAAAAAGAGAGGGCCTTGTGTTGACTGAGGATGACAATGTGACAAGCACTGAGAAGCATGGCTAACTAGACTTTTTGCATCCAACCCTCAAGAAAAGAAGGAAAAAAATGATTGGGAGAGTGAAGACGAATTGCTCCTGAGTCAATCAGTGGTTCAGCCAAGCTCAGCCCTGAGGTGGGCTGGCTTTACTTAATAGAGAACGTGGAGGCCCTAGTGAGGGCAAATGTTCTCTTAGAAAGGGTCACCCTTTCTTCTTTTCTCCCACCACTCACCTTTCTGTCCAGCCCATTATTATTAATAATAATTATTATTTACCTTATCACAGCTTTATTTTCTAATTGTTAAACCACTGTCATGAAGCACTAAGCAGCAACGTCAGCATTTGGTTGAAGAGACTGGCAGGAAAAGACCACACTGCTCTGTTCTGCAACATGCATGATTGTCTTCTCTCTTGGATTTTTGACCTTGGTTTTGGCCTTGAAAACCAAGGTCAAAAATGCTGAGCACGCAGGTTCCATTTCATCTGTTTTTCGCTTCCATTCACTAAGTACTTACTATGTCCAAGATATTTGGCATATGGGTGCCTTACCTAAATCATCTCATTTAACTTGTACTGAAAACTCAGTGATATCTGTTCCCATTCTCTAGATGACTAAAGCTTAGAGAAGTTGTGTATCTTTTCACATGACAGTTGAACTTAACCTTCCAGGGGAGTATCACCCCAATTGGGACTACCATGAATCATCAAATCAAAGGATATATATATATATATATATATATTTACCATATTGGAAGGGAATTTTAAGAATAGTCAGACTTTGGTTGGCATCCAAGTGGAAAGAAATGAATCAATTCTGTCCTCACTGATTGCCTGTAACATCTAACCATTCTTGTATTTGGGATTGAGAACATATTCAAAGAACTTAAATACTCCTTCGAAGCATGGGGCCACATTTAGGTAACACCCATTATCATCTATGTTCTGTTGGAAATCCATGTCACTGTGGAAACTGAATGACAGAAGAGGCAGGTCGCTTCACGTTTGCTACTGTTGTTGATAATGCTTTCATGTCTGTGGATATCAACTGCATGATTGCTTGGTTTCCACCCAAGAGTTACCTGTTCATAAATTACTTTCATATTTCATAGGCTACAGTCTGTAAATATCTAACTGATGAGCACCTGTATATCAGCCCAGTAAGAAACTATGCATATAAATGGCTCAAGTAAAAATATCCAATTTAGAAGCACTGTCAGTCAGCACAGGGAAGAATTTTCTAATGCAGTCAAGGGGTATAGCATTACTTCTACAGAAATGTAGCTTTTAAAGAAGGTCACTAGTATTGCCACCCCAGTGTCTTCACTTCTAAGTCTAAACCTTTCATGATGCATATATCACCTGCTTCCTAATTGGAAATTCAAGAAAGCAGTCTTCATCATAAAATAAATTACGTCGAGGGATATGCAGTAATCTCTCGACTTAATTTAGCACTTTGAAATAAATAATATATCCGTGACTCACAGTGTTGAATTCAATTCTGTGTCTTTCCTCAGTGGTTCTTTCCCTCCCTCCCTTCCTTCTTTTTTTTCTTTTTTTTTAAATTGTCCTTTTCTTCATTATGCTGCTTCTGGTTACACACACATACACGTACAACACAAATGCATTCTCCCTGGCTAACTTTTACCTTTACGACTTTTATGCAACCGTCACATTCTTCTAGAAAAGAGAAATTATTGCTATTTGCCCTCCAGAATCCAACTAGGAGATCTCTGTCTGTCTATCATCTATCTATCTATCTATCTATCTATCTATCTATCTATCTATCTATCTATCTATCTCTGTGCCAATTAAAAAAAAATCCAATTCATGAAAAGGGCTGGCAAATCTTCAGCTTGCAGATAAGCATTCATTCAGAAGTGTTGAACTCATAAAACTGTTTCCAAACTCAAGATTCACTTTGTTTTTTTCCTCTGACTAGTAGTATTTCTTCTGCCTAGCCAGTGTCATAGTGATGAAAAACGGAATTTTGACAACTAATATACCATACATTGGAAGCAAGCATGAAAAAACCTCTTAGAAACATTGGACTTTTTGCTTCTGAGTGTCCATAATGAAAATATTGGAGTTCCATCTAGACCAGCAGTGTCTGTGGTTCTCAAAATGCCAGTATAGGAAACTTTGCTGAAGTTACATAAAAGAAAAAGAATGCCAACACAAGGTGCTGACATCCCTGATGATTTGCCAGACATTACTCCCAGAAACTTAGACCAAGACTTTCTACAGGGAAGAAGAAACTGGTATGCTTTATGTAATAAGTGCCACGACTGGGACCACCCACCTCTGAAAGGTAGAAAGGTGTTGGGAATCTCATTGTCTTCTTTTCACAGCTATTTCTTACAGTGGTCAGCACCTTCCCATAGAGTTATAGGTAGCCTGTCACTCAGAAAAGCCCCGCAGTGAAATCTCACTGGAGACTTTCTTCCCTCTGAGCTTGGGTAAATTATTACCTAGAAGTCCAGAAATTGTCCAGACATTTTCACAAAGGCTTTCTCAGACCTGCTTTTCAAGAAACTTTTCCTGAACTCAGCAACTTAGACCTATCACTTAACTGCTGGCGGAAACTATCTAAACCCAGATTATACTAAGTCCTTTAGGATAGTTGTAGTTTCTCCCCCTGCCCCCTACCCGGCCCCAGGCACTATGTCTAGTGACATACTGTGTTAGCCAAGAACAAAGCGCCAGGCACTTCATTTACATTATGACACTGGAATCTCTGCTGACACCACCGAATACAAAAATGATAAGTCATTCAAGCTGCTTTGTTACTGGAGCATGCACAAGCTCCCATGACCCAGCACCCTCAATGTTTTGATTGATAGTTTAAAAAAAGCTGTTAAATTACACACACAATATGACGTCTGTCCTTAAAACAAAACTGGAGGCATTTTATAGCTAAACAATTTTATTGGCTTTTTGTGAAATAAAAAACACACAAGAAACCACCATGGTTAAAGGCCATAATCAGCATCAACCAAATGAACCAGCCACTTGGTTACAGCAGCTGATAACAACACTAGTGGATATTATTGCTTATACCCCAAGTTCATTTATATGTCCATTACATTTTGGCAAGATTACAATCAAATGGGAGCTTTGGTTGTAAAAATTCAACTATGACTACTCATTGAAAACTCAACTTCTACCATTTTATGATGGGATACATGTCAATTCTTCTGCATCTTGACATTTATCCTTTCCTGTCTCCTTTCTCCTTCCATTAATAAGATGTACAAGCCTATTGAAAAAAATTAAGGTGGATGCATTTGTAACTATCCTTCCTCTGCTGCCTCCTCTTTTGTCATGACAAGGTGCTGCATTTCTGGGCCTCTCCCAAGATCTTCTATCTGGTATGTTTCCACTGCCAGTAATAAATGCCCATCTGTAATCTAGATAGATTTGCAAATGCATATGGCTGTCAACATTGGGGTTTGGACTTAACTGTCTCATTTCCATCTTCTGAAAAGCTAGAAGAAAAAATAAAAATAAAAACAAAATCAACAGCCCTTGGCATTGGTAACTTGACCTCCCAACAGAATGAGCCCCATCCCCTGCCACGTAACATCCCATGGCAGGTGTGGAGCTGTGGCCTCGAAATGCTCTCTGTGTGTGTATGTGTGCTGTAACATTTTACTTTGCAGAGAAGCAATGACTGACTGCCTCACAAAAGCTCCCCTGCTCTCACACTTTCTAGTTTAACACTGAAAACTCAGAATGAGAAAGAGTCAGAACTAACTTACAATAGCACCATTTCCTAGACTCTTGGAATGAGATTCCTTTCCGTGTAGGAGAACGCAGGCGCCCAGCCTCCAGCTGTGTGCTTTCACAGGCTCCCAATGCATTTCAGCAGAAGTGGGTGGTCTGCCTTAGCCTACTTCTGCAGAAACATGAATCTTCCCTGGGAAGAGTTAAAAATATGGGTCTTAGAAAGTGAAGTTGGCCACAGGTGAGAAGCCTGAGGAAGCCTGTTTCTGGTGGTGAGATGTGACAAGCCTGTAGATGGCAGGAGGGAGTCCAGGGACCTTTTCCCTTGCCCATCTCAATTCAAGTCAGTGAAGAATCTGCATGCAGAAGCATGGCAAGTTCAAGGAATACTGAGAGACGTAAACCCTAATACAGCAATCGGAACACCAGCGCACTAATGGTATCTTACGTATTCAGGTCCACCAGTGAGTTTGCCCTGGATAATGCTGGGATTTAATAAGCCCTTCTAATGATTATAAAGATTATCCTCTTGCAACTAGACATTGGAAACAACAGAATATTTGATATCACTATATTTTACATGGCACATATAACCATATAATTACCAGCACTTAACACGGCAAATATTGTAAATACACATTCTTGGAGTTGACTTTGTAATTACACCGATGTTATTCAACAGAAAAAAGATTAAACACTCTCTAATTTGCACTTTGGGGGATTTCAGTCCCCTCCTTCCCTTCACAACAATAGGATAACCCTCTAATTACGTAATAATGCTCGGTGGTCATGTGGGCAAAGAGAATCACAGGGTGACTTCATAGTCAATTGTGGCCTGTAAAATAAAGTAATACACAGTATTTTCATTTCAACAAAATACAAGAGACCATATAAAAATATTTTCCAATTTGGAATCAGAAACATGAAAGCTGGATTTTTTTTCTTTGTATAAAAAGAAACAAAATAACAGACTAAAGTTTATTAAGCCTCCTAACAAAAAAAAATATACATATCAGTTTAAGGAATGCAGTGAGAGTCAGCTTCCCTTTTTGTCCAGGCTCATTGATGGTGAGCTTGTGCTTTGATCCTAACAAAGATAAATGCACAAAAGTGGAGGAAGGTCAGTGTCTGAAACCTGAACTATGTCGTATCTCTAATAAGACGAATTTTACAGTAGTGCTTTGAAAAGTGGTGGATCAGATTACCGATTTTTTTTCCTCTTCCTCTTCAGGCCACTGCGGGAGATGAATTCCAGAAGCACCACTTTCGTCTCGAGTGATGCTTATTTAGTGCAATATCTTCCTTCTCTCGTTCCCTTTTCACACGCTGGTAGTGATCTTCTTCCTTCAGGTACCACACGGGGGGCCAGCGGTGCCGCTCGAAGTATTCCTGGTTGTCTGGTGAAGGAAAGAATCAGACCATAAGACCTGCAGCTCATTGACGCTTTTTACGTGCTAGGCCTTGAGCTTAAAGCTTCTCGAATATTCTCTCAAAAATGTGATGTGGCAGGGACTGTGATTAGGGTCATTTGCAAAAAGTGACACTGTTTTGAGAGGAAGAATCTCTTGCCTGTAGTCATGAGGCTGGGCACAGAGAACCTGAACCCAGGACCACCTGATTTGAGAGTCTAAGCCTGCTCCTAAGCTTGCCTCCCTAAACAAGGGGAAGCCCGCCACCTCTGCGCTCTCTGCAACAGGGCACCATGGACTCCAGCCCAGCCAACTCCCCTCAGCATCAAGTTCTTCAAAGAGAATTCCCAGCCTTCTATTCTTTATGTCATCTCACATGAATATGTGACCACCAGCTAGTCTCAAGGAATTATCCGTGAGCTGCCTGCTGACTGTGTTCCTTTCCAGGGACATAGAAGGTAAAAGCTTCCATGAGAGGTGAGGAGAGCTGGATGAATGGGGGCTTCGCACAGTCTCACCTGCAGATTTTGATTTGATTTCCTTGCGGAACTTGGAGCATACACTGTTGTAGTTGGTGCAGATGTGGTGCAAACACCAGGCGGCCAACTGGTGGGCATTGTGAAACTGCAGAAAAGTGAGCAAAAGGAGGGTAAGACTCTATTTTCTAAAAAGGGGCTACAAAGAAATTGGGGAAGCCATCGTAAGGGTGAAAATAAATGAAGGGCTTATATAACTAATTTGGTAAACCTCTTGTTTTGACCTCAATGTTTTGACTTTGGCCATGGCTCTGATGCCAGCCAGTGTAGTGCTGGGCACACCCCTCCCTTTCCCACTGTCCTAGGTGCACCAAAAATAATTGCTGTATCAAATCACGAGCTTAAAGTATGCCTCGCCCTCTCACCGTCCCCTGCCACCTGGCCCTCTAGTGCTAAGCAACCGTGGCCTCTGGAAGACACCAGCCCACAGCAGAAAGCAGCGATGTCATCTCTGTTTAAGGAAGCCTCGGCAATGGAATACTTCGTGTCGCATGTCAGGGCTCAGCTTGCTGGGGCCAAGATCCGAAAGAGGAGACTGCAGAATGTGTGACTGTCCTATACCTGTCCTTTGGTTACATAAGAAGAGCAGGCAGTATGGGCAGGGTGGAGAGATCCAGATACTTCACCCTTCCTTTCTAAGCAATGCTCAGGAACGTGGCAGCGAGGTAGCTATGATTGAAAAATATGAGATGCTCAAAAATCAACTGTCAACTCCCCCATTCCCTCTCCAGACCTGGCGGGCCTGCCGTGATCCCTCACTCTTTCCGTCTGTGCCCTTCTCTGACACCCCTTCTGTTGTCTGTCGCTCTTGATGTTTCTTTGGTCGGGTGGAACCTTAGAACCTACAGCACGCTTCCTCTGCGGCCCTGTATCTCCACTGTGAGGCCAAAAGCCAGAGATCTTAGAAACCCACTCGAGAGACTCACTGAAAATCACAACCCAAACATCAGAGACAGTTTTAGCTGGTGCTTCCAACTTCTCTTGCTGTTAGATTTCTCTCTGAAAACAAGACTAGGGCAGTGTTCCGCCGGGTGGGCTTATCCCAGCTTGAAAGAGCCAATTGTGTGCATTTCTTCCCTACTTTGAGTTTAGTGACTTCATATGTTATAATCAGCCATGATGGGAGTATTTATATAATAGAAATTGGCAAATGTAACAGATTAGGGTCCCACTTGCCCCCAAGCTGACTGTTAAACACTTACCAGCACATCACTGGGTTAGGGTCTAATGGACGAGCTAAGACATGAGAGAATCCATCCTAAGCTCGTCCTGCCAAGGCTTGTCAGGGCTTAGCAATAATCATATTATTTCCTTGTAGTGGGTATGTGTGGGGGTAAGGTGGGAACACAGTGCAACAAACAGACACAGACACAACTGCAAATCATTCCCTCAAGTGAGTGGTCCCGATATGAAATTCCGGATCATTACATTTTTCTCTAGGAGGAATACTTGCTGGAGCGAGTACAAGTTATAAACCATCCCCCAGAACTGTTTCAAAAGACCCTAAATTCCAAGTGTGGACAACCAGTTCTGATGGGGACTTGCTGATTCGACTGCATTAGATGTCTACTCTCAGTTTCACTGTAATCCCTAATTGGATTTTAATAATTTGTATTTGTGTCTGTTTCCTTTACTTGCCTATGATTGCCCTGGGGCAGAGGATCTACCATTTATATGTACACATCCTTTGCCTAGGGCAGTGCCTGGTATTTGGGGAGAAAAACAACAAATATTTGCTGAATGCTAAGTCAAAATGAATCGGTCGCTGTAAAGTTCAATTCCGCCTTTTCCCCCTTTTGCACCTGAGTCATCTCCTTTGGCCACAGTAGGAAGGGCCTGAGCAGCACCTGCTAGATGCCACCTCCTCCCCCTAAAACCACCTCCTTTCCCTTGATTGAGAAATATTGATTTAAATGGACTGACCTAAGACTTAGTAAGCCATTGTCTTAACGGAAAGAGGGAGCACAGGAAGCCAAACCCAACAGGCTGAAGAAAAGACGGAGGCATTTATTCTTAGTTCCCTCAGAGTGTAAATTCATTGTTAATCAGCCTATGCCAGGGACTAGAAAATTCTGCAGATGTGCCTGGCATTCTAAGAGGGCTTACACTCTTCAGTGCTCGCTCTTGAACATTCTCTCCCACTTGATTCTCAAAATAATCTGTAAGGTTGGTAGGATGCAAACTGTCATCCCATTTCCTGTGGATGAGGAAAGTGAGGCAGAGTTTAGCTTGTGCTTTGAGGAAGTTACTCCATGGTGAAGCTGAAGCTGAATCTTGGACCTTCTCTGGAAGAAGAGGGCAAGTCTGTATTGGGATTATGTTATTACAATCTGAATATTAGCAACTACTGGCTTTAGAAAACTCCAGGACAGCTGTATGAGATGTTCATTAACAGAGGGTCATTACAGGGCTTCACGAAACTCTAGAAACTGTCTGTGCTTGGCCAAATACATGGCCAAGAATTCAAAGAAGGAGGAGAGACAAAACCTCCCCCAAGTGGTTCTCCCACATGCGAAGCTGGTGCCTTAGGCGACAATGGGACTGGTGTGGGGACCGTGTTGTTTATTCAAATGAAGCCCAGCAGGCTGAATGGTACATGAAAGGTAAAACTCTCAGATCTTCTTAGTGTTCACAGGGGGCCTCTGTGACTCAGTGGTGACATCTTTATTTAGACAGATGCAACAATGGAATGTTTCATCAGCATTAAATGAACTGATTGAACACATTTAAAAGGTGAAGAGCAAACTGATACAAACCTGAGCCAATTCCAAGTAAGAGAGCACTTCTCCGTCAATGCCCACGCCACTCATTGCAGCCTTGGTCAACTCCTGAACGGCATGCTGTTCTGGGGAAGAAAAAGGGGGCCAGAGAATGTTAAACCACACCCTGCAAGCCAGGTAGCTTGCCTGGAGGGTTGGTCTGGGAGCACTTAAGAAGGGAGGAAATGTGGGACACAGCTCTGGGCAGCCATCTGAATTAAATCCAGAAGCTGCTCTGATGTGTGGTCTTTCACTACTTGGGGTTCTGGTGCCAGCCACTTCACCCACACCTCTGGGGACTCTTATTCATGGCTTTAAAATAGTCAGAATCCTCCAGACCTGCAATGTTCTGTGCAGGATGGTAACTCCTGGCCACACGAGACTATTTAAACTTAAATTATTTAAAATGAAATGAAATTAAAAGTTCAGCTCCTCATTCACACTAGCCACAGTAAGTGCTCAACAGCCACATGTGGCCACTGTTTGGACCATCCAGATATGAAATGTTTCCATCACTGCAGAAGGTTCTACTGGATGGAGTGGCTCTAAACACTCTAGCACCTTCCTAGAGTCCTCTAGACTTTAGACACGCTCCTGTTTGACAGTTTCCCCACTCACATCACCACAATCCTTAATACCCCTGACAGTGAAGAGGTTGAATGACATAGGAATGAGTCTATTTGAGGAATTAAAAATGTGATTGCGTACGTCTGTCTCAACAGCTACAGATGGTGACGTATTGTTCAGCCTCTTGGATTCTAAAGACTGGGGAGACCCGCAGTCCGAAGTAACAAAAATGCAGTAGGGAGAGCCATTTCTGCTTGGGAGCTTGAGTCCAAGGCTTCCAAGCTGAATTTACATTGTGGCCTGAAGCTAAGACATCTCTTGCCTTTGTAAAGGCTGTTGCCTGCCTCTGAGACTGACGTGTGAGGGTACAGCCTTGGCTCAGCATTTCTATCTCCTTGACATTGATGTCATCCGTAGCATTGCATTTGTTTTTCTAATCCAGCACATTGTCTAAATCACGCTTACTTTCTGCTCCAGCTCTGCATGCTTACTGGTCAGTATGCCTATATCTGGTCAATATAGTATCGGGAATGGAATGATTTCTTTGGCACAAACCTCCTCACCTGGATTGAACTATTTGGAACTAAACTGCCCAGAGAAGTCATCTGGGCTTTGTCGTTTTAAGTAACTGCAACATTTCCTGACATTTATTTAACACGGGCTCACAAAGCATCGTCACTAGAAACTGATTTTTAAACACTATTTAAACACCATTTAGAAACTGATTTTCTAAACACTCTACACTAGACAGTACAAAGCAAATACTATAAAGGATTAAAGGAATCATCTTGGGAAGCTGTATATTAAATAATCGTAACAGTAACAACAGCATTTAATAACTAAACTAATTGTTCATAGAAGTCTAGAGTTCACACAAAAAGCTTTATTTGGGTCAGTTAAAAAAAAAAAAACTTTTATGGAGAAATCAATCCCATGTTTTCATTGCCAGACTTAACATTTAAGCAAAAATGGTACTAGTCTGAGATTGATCACAAACCTTGTTGGGCGGATTTGGCTCCAAATTACTTTTGACAATTTCAAAAATAAAATAAAAATTTATCCTCAGGACTAATGTCATAAAACCTGTGGATAGTTAGATGGCTTGGAACCCATGTTTCATTAAGAAAGTAATTGCCCACTGAAGCCTCCCAGCGTCAGTATTTAAAAAAACTAGCGCCCTCTTTTGGATCTATTAGGTATATTGGTTAAAAACAGTTTTTAAAAATAAATCTAGTATTGATGCCTCAACTCGCTTTTTCTATCCAACTGGGGAGGAAGTAGGACAAAGAGAGGACTTTGTTCTCCAGGTGGTTGTGTGTAGTGGAAGCCCAGAGGACAGAGAAAATAATCTTTTTTTTTTTTTCTTTTTTGAGACGGAGTTTCGCTCTCCTTGCCCAGGCTGGAGTGCAATGGCGCAATCTTGGCTCACCGCAACCTCTGCCTCCTGGTTTCAAGCGATTCTCCTGCCTCAGCCTCCCGAGTAGCTGGGATTACAGGCATGTGCCACCACGCGTGGCTAATTTTGTATTTTTTGAGACGGGGTTTCTCCATGTTGGTCAGGCTGGTCTCGAACTCCCGACCTCAGGTGATCCGCCCGCCTCGGCCTCCCAAAGTGCTGGGATACAGGTGTGAGCCACCGTGCCCGGCCTATCCTTTATTTTTTCTAAAGACATTGCCAGAAAAACAAGTGCAGATAGGACCGGTTGGTTTGTTCATACACTCATCTTCATTCATTCAATTGTTCAACAAATATTTATCGAAAGCTAATATGCTCAGGCACTCAGAAGAAAGGCCAGTGAACAAGACAGGCACTGTTTATTTCTGCTTTGATGGTTAATAGGAATCAACTAAACAGTGATAAACATCCAGCTTGTGACTTAACACCTCTGGTGTAAAGTGAATGAGGCTGAAGATCTGAATTCCAGCGACAGCCATTTAAGTGCATATATCCTATACAGACCTGCTTCAGCTTCCCAACTGAACAAATCTAGAAATGATACATAAGATTTTGTGAAGTTAAGCCAAGTTTCCCTTTTTTCTCTTTCTCCCAAAATGAACTTGACAATGTCAGAACATTTTCTAAAATAGCTTTAAGAAAACCACTTACATAATGCTTACTATGTGCCAGACGCTGTTCTAAGGACTTTATATTTTAACTCATTTAATCTTCAAAACAGCTCTATGGCTGAATAATATTAGCCCCATTTTAAAGAGCGAGAAAGCTGAGACACAGAGCGAAGGTTACAGGACAAAGTCACCTCGTCTGTAAATGGTGGAGTCAGGGTTTGATCTTAGGCAATCTGGCTCTGTCATCTGTTTTCCTAAACAGTGCATCTACCGCCTTCTTAAAGACTGTGTCTGTGCAGTTATTATGGAGATAATGTTGACAAAATAGTATTATTTCAAACTCTGGGGTGCACAAATGACTCAGCATGCATAGAGCGTGTGCCTCAAGGGCAGGGGGCATGCATTACTCACCTTCATAGCTGTATCACCTAACAGGGTCCACCACAGAGTGGGTGCTTAAGGAGTATTTGTTGAATTGAATTGGGCTGTCTGATGCAATTTGATTAGTTCATATCATTCTACACAAGACAGTCCTATTTTGCGTGATAAAAAATCAACTTTTATTCTCTGTAAACATATTTTTATTTAAATGTGATTTTGGATAAATATGACAGACAGTGCATGGCCCTGAGTCATCAGCCTTACCTGCAAGTGCAACCAAGTGTGGCAGGCAAAATCTGTTTGCCAAGGCAATTAATTCCAGCGGGTCCAGATCCAAGTTAGGAGACAACTGCTTGGTATAGAGATAATCCAATACTGCTTGCATTGATATCTTGTTTATGTTCGGGAGATACACCTGAAATGTTATACAAAAAGCTAAATTCTGCTGCAGAAAGCAGGGAGTGGGCACATTTTCAGGCTATGCTGCTTGTAAATATCCTGTGTGACTTGATATTGGCGAGTGTTGGACACCTGCTTTGAGGCTGTGCATAGGAATCCTTCTGTATTTATGACTTTAAACATAATGGTTTGATTTGTAGATGACAAAAGAGTGGAGCTGCCTGACACAGCCTGATGTGGAATTTTCAAACGACTATTTGGACTTATAAATCAGACAAATGGGCTGGAAATGTATGATAACATTAGGGGCCCTCATGCCAAGCACCTTGTAATACTCTATTGTGGGGAAAGAAATCTCCTAGCAACACGACAGGTGTTGGGGGGAGCTGCAAACCACACTGTTGCTGACATGATGGAGCCTAGCTCTCCAAGACGTCAAAACAGAGGATGAGGCTGAGCAACCACCCTAGCTGCCACAGTGACCAGCTTGATTTCGACATTCTGTCAGTATATGCACAATATATTGCAATGTACTACATAACGTATACACTTCATTATTTTTTCCTACAACCACATGGATTCAGAACTACTGGAACATTATCAGTTATCAGTAGATTCAGAGAATCCAAAGGAGTCTTTGCTTAGGACTTCCAGGGGAGTATGACTGGGTACAGGTGAACTGTCCCCTGTAGGCTTCCCACAGTCTCTTTCATGAGTGCCTGTAGTTGTCCATATAAATGCATGCTAGAGCTTGCTAGAGAGCCAGGCACTGCCTGGGAGGTGGAGAGCTGGAGAGGTAGGCATGGATTAATGGAGATGTACACTGTGTAGCAGCTAGTCTTTATTTTAGGTCTCTAACTACATGAGACAGGCCCTGGTGTCGTTCAGAACTGTACCACTTGGATTACTGGAATACCGACAATTACAAATATTAATCGTAATTGAAGGCATCCTATGAACCAGGCACTGCGCTAAGCTTTCCACACACATTCTTTAATTGGACGCTTATATCTGCCCTAGAGACTAGAGACTTACTTTTGCCATTCTACAGAAAAGGAAACGGAAGTTCAAGGAGGTTCATTTAAATCTTGTGTCCAAGGTCACAGAGCTAGGAAGTGGTGACTGGGATTTAAACCCAGGGAGTATGACGCGAAAGTTTATGTTCAGAATTGTTGTGCGGTGCTGGAAACGTTTAATGCCACAGAAGCACAGGTTTGAGTTACAACAATAAAGCATCATAATTTACTAATGGTTTGTAAGAATTCTACTTCAAAAGGATGAACAATTATGAACTTCTTTTTCTTTCTTTTTTATTTTATTCATTTTTTGAGACAGGGTCTAACTCTGTTGCCCAGGCTGGACAGCAGTGGCTTGATGATAGCCTGGGCCTGGGCTCAAGCTATCCTCCTACCTCCACCTCCCTAGTAGCTGGGACTACAGGCAGTACCACCATGCCCGGCTAATTTATTTTATTAATTCTTTTTTTGTAGAGATGGCGGGCTTGCTATGTTGCCCAGGCTGGTCTCAAACTCCTGGCCTCAAGTTATCTTCCTGCCTTGGCTTCCCAGAGTGCTGGGATTACAGGCATGAGCCACTGTGTCTGGCCAGTTATGAACTTCTTAATTCTCATACTTAATAAACCTCTATACAACATGTAAAGATATATATCTATATATTATATATGATTACATCTTTATAACATGGTTACATCTGTATATTTTATATGATCGCACCTCTCCATACACATGCACGTGCACACACACACACAGGCACACACACATACTCAGGCACACACACACACAGTCAGGCACACCCACACACTCAGGCACACACACACACAGGCGCACACACACACACTCTCAGGCATATACACACAGTCAGGCACACACACTCAGACACACATACACAGTGTCAGGCACACACACACACACTCAGGCACACACAGGCACAGAGCCAGACCTCTATACCTGTGGGTTCCACATCTGTGGATTCAACCAACTGTAGATCAAAAATATTTGAAAAAAAGGCATGACTGCCTCTGTTCTGAACATGTACAGACTTTTTTCTTGTCATTATTTCCTAAACAATACAGTATAACAACTACTTACACAGCATGTGCATTGTATTAGGTATTAGAAACACTCTACAGATAATTTAAAGTATAAAGGAGGATGTGCACAGATCTATGCAAATACATTGCCATTTTATATGAGGAACTTGAGCATTCATGGATTTTGGTGTCTGAGTGGGCGGGTCGGGGGATGGTCCTGGAACCAATCCCTCACAGATACTGAGGGATGACTCTGTGTGTGTGTGTGTGTGTGTGTGTGTGTGTGTCTGTGTGTGTGTGTGAGACAGAGAAAGAGAGAGAGAGAAACAGTGAGAGAGAGAAAGAGTGTGTTATGTATGTATGTATAATGGCTCCACATTCTACAGGGTGCTTATGGCTTATGCATTCTGGCAGTGTGGCTCCAGAACTGTTCTAAGCTATAGAAACCTTCTTTGTTATTATCCTATGCAGCCATTAGCCACCTCAGAGAGGGAATATCCTTTCAGATAGGTAGACCTGTCCCTTAACATATCACAGGGAAGGTTTAGAAAAGTTCCTAGAAATATTAAGGAATTTATCCCCCACTTTCAGACATGGTTGGTGAAAACAACAATTATGATTCCATAAATGAGTTACATAAGTCATTACCATAAATGATTTGATGAGCATGATCATTTCAGGTTTCCAGCACAACCTCTACAACAAATAGAACTCAATGAGTTGAAACTATTACTGGGATTATTTTAAAATAAAGTAGCTGTTGGGCTTGCTAGATCATCTGCAATATACAGATGTTGGAATGTTATTCTTCCCTTTAACCAGCTGTATCCACATATGAATAATTATTCAACTAAATCTAGCACCAGTTACACCATGTGTATGCTCGCATACATATATGTTTACATACATGTGCATTTATCTTACACAAATAATGGATTTATTTACAGATATTCAAACAAATTTGTTTCTGTGTGTAGGAACACGTAACATTTCATTTCTTTGATGAAATAATGTTTGGATTAGCGATATGGTTTGGCTGTGTCCCCACTCAAATCTCATCTTGAATTATGGCTCCCATAATTCCCACGTGTTGTGGGAGGGACCTGATGGGAGATAATTGAATCATGGAGGCGGTTCCCCAGACTGCTCTAGTGGTAGGGAATAAGTCTCACGAGATCTGATGGTTTTATAAGGGGTTTCCCCTTTCACTTGGTTCTCACTGTCTCTCTTGCCTGCTGCCATGTAAGATGTGCCTTTTGTCTTCCACCATGATTGTGAGGCCTCCCCAGCCACGTGGAACTGTGAGTCCATTAAACCTTTTTCTTTATAAATCACCCTGTCTCTAGTATGTCTTTATCAGTAGTGTGAAGATGGACTAATACAATTAGTATAGTTTTTTAGACAGTTGAAGGTTGAGTTGTGAAACTTTAAAATTTGAATCATTTTAATAGTGAAAGTACTCACATTTTACAAAGTGCTAAGTGCTCTAAGATGTTAGTAATTGTTAATACACAAAGTGCCAGAGCTTCCTGTTAACACCTGCTCTCTCAGAGATGGGGATGTCTGGTGCTTCTGAAAACAATGCCTCTAGTGATAGTGCAAGAGCCTGGGGCAGGCCCAGGGATATATCACTAAAGTGCTGCGTGACCTTTGATAAATCACTCACCCTCTCTCACCCTCAGTCTTGTCATCTGTTACATGGGAGGAATTTGGAATAGATGCTGTTAAAAGTTTTTTCTTCACGGAAACTCTGGGTTTTGAAGATCTTCAGATTACCTTAGCATTTTTTGGCAAGAGTGTGTTCTAAGTCATGGCTTAAAGAAGACATAGCAAAATGAACATCCTAAATAAAAAGAAACTATTTCTGGCTGCAGCAGATGACAGATTCGAGTAAGCAACCTTGCCCAAATACCCTCAATGCCCTCGAAGTGTTCCGATGTTTGTAATCACCTATGACCTGCTATCTTCTTTTAGCTGAATATAATGTTAACATTTTTTGAAGTGATGGCTCTATTTGGCAAATAACGTTAGAGACCCTTAGAAAAAAAAATCAAATTAGAATAAACTCAGAACACTTCTGGAGCATTCATTTTTTCCCCCTCATGGCTGATTTTTAAAAAAAGCCTGTTTCTGTGATTTCAACATTTATAATTAACTGCATGACAACAGAAAGACCTTTATTTATAGCACTTTAAAAATAGTATAAGCAAAGCTTCATAAATAATGGAATAAAAAAAATTTGCATCCTACCTGCTGGATATAGTTTTTTTTTTTTTTCTTAAAAAAAAAAAAGAGTTATCCAAGAGAATATAATGCTACCCTAAACAATGTTCTATCTTGCAGTTTAGTCGGTTTAAAATTTTAATTGTGAAGATTAGCTGAGACTATTAGGCTTATAATTAGAGACAGTCTCATAGAGAATGAGAAAGTATCCTAGATCCAAAGCATTGCTTACTACAACCCAGGCATGCATTTTTAATGAACCACTTGCTGAGTACCTCTGGGGAGAGAATTATGCTTACTGCTACATTAAAAGTAATGAGAAAAAAATATAAGTAAGATACAATGTTTTCCTGAATATTAAATGACAAAAAAGTTAAATTAAAATCAATGGACATAGGCATATTTCATTCTTTTCTGGATATGCACATTAATTCTATTAATTCTCCAAAAAAGGCTGAGTCTCATGGTGGGGGGCAGGAGGGTGGTGGGCATCAGATTTCCAGATTTTCTCAAGATAACAGAAGGTTAAAAGGTGGCCTACAAAGGCCAAATCCCAAGTGTGAACATGGACCTATGTTAATTATGAAGCATTAATTGAGTGCCTTTCCCCTACAACTATAACCACCTGAATTGTACTTTCCTACTTTAGAAAGGGGACTGGCGGCTTTTTAACTTAGAGCTTTCCAGGGCAAATACCTTTAACCCCATATGGAAAGAATTTAACAGGAAAACTCTAGCTTAATAGTCGCTAACATTTATTGAACATTTGTATGTTCTAGGCATCAAATTCAATGCTTTACACATGTCCTCTCGTGCCTTCTCTGCCCTTTGACGAAGGTTCTCTTGTTATCCCCATTTTACAGATGAAGAAACAGGTTTAGAGTGAGCCACTTGCCCAAGGTCAGGCTAAGACTATATTATAGTTTGCACAGGAAATAAAGTGAAGGGACAGGAAGGAGTGAGAATGTCAACAGCTCATTGCATTTTCAATATACTGGCTAAAGGAATTGTGGCACAGGTCTTCAGTGGCTTGGTTCCATGGTCTTTGTCTTTTGAGCTGGTTTGAACCTATACAAACCTATTAGCCTTAACTCCAGTTCTAAGCGGTGAGGGACCTCGTGTCTCCAGCAGGGTGTGCTAAACAGGTGGCCTCCTCCAGGAGAGGCTATCAAACAACCATATACATGTGTATTCACATTTGCTGCCAAGTTTTTGTTTTGGTCACCTCTACTGCACATTTTAATCTGGAGACGATTACAGTCCATTCTTGGAAGGGATAAAGGAGATTAGCATTCGTGAGGTCAGCTCTGACAGTGTCCCTTTGTGCCTGCGTTCCTGACCTCGATCAACTTCTCCCTGCTCTGTGAATAGCAGGTCCTCGGCTGCACAATCAGCACGCACTTCAGTGAGCTGGACAAAGAAGGGGAGCAAGCCTCCCAGCTCTTTATCTCCAGAGATTGCTGAAGTCAGTGAAATACCAACTGGGTGAGGTTTTACAAATTGGTGGCTACCCTAACTTTTTCCTGGACACAAGAGGGAAAGAATATCATCACTACCAACAACATCAGAATAAGTCCAGCGGCAGCTACCATTTATTTAATGCTTCTGAAGTGCTTTGCAAGTAATGACTCTTACACCCCACAACCACAGTATGGGTTATAACTGTTTTCCAGATGGGAAGTCTAGAGCCAAGAAAGGTTAAGTCACTTGTAAGTGGAGGAGTTGCAATTTGAATCCCACAGTCCTGTAACTGTGCAGATTCCATGTACTGCAGTTGTCTTAGTAATGATGCTCCAAAACACCTTTGACCCAAGCTCAGGAGACATTTTCATTAGTCACAGCCGAGAGTCTCCTGGTTTAGAAAGGTTATTAGACACTGTAAGAGGCCATCAGGATAACTCTAATATTTTCTCCCTGAAAAGCAGATAGCCCTTTGCTAGGGGCGGGGTGGGGGGCGGTTGGTTTAGGAGCAGCTGCAGTTTGTTCTGGATGCACGAGAGTGGCCTAGTAATCTTAGCCCCTGCTATCCAAGGCTTGTGATTCTAGGATTCTGTTTCCCTGCTTGGGGATGCAAATGCAGACTCCTGGGTCACAATGGGAGTGCTCGAATTTCTTGTGCTACTGCCTCATTTGAAAAGTTAGCTATTGTTTTCTGCATTTCTTTGAAAAATCTGGAAAGACGCTGAGACAAGCAAAACAAGCCTCTTAGGACAATAAACTACATGGGTGTACCCATGTTTTTATTTTTACTTTTTAAAAAAAGATGTTAAAAATACTTGCAAAACTCCACAAAAATGCTTGCTCACTCCTAAAGTTAGAAGTGCTTGAATTGAATTTTTTTCTTTTCCAACAGTTTTTAAAAAGACAAAGAGGACGTACTCCCATGTTAATTGTAGCACTATTCACAATAGCCAAGATACAGAGTCTGCCTGTGTCCATTAGTGGATGGTTGGATAAGAAAATGTGGTACATATACACAATGGGATACTATACAGCCCTAAAAAAGGAAAATTCTGTCATTCAAGACAACATGGGTGAACCTAAAGGACATTATGTTATGTGAAATAAGCCAGGTTTAGAGAGACAAATATCACAGCATCTCACTTATATGTGGAATCTAAAAATGTTGAACTTCAAAGTAGAGAGTAGAATAGTGATAACCAGAGGCTGGGATTAGCAGGTAAATGGGGAAAGGAAAGCCATCTGTCAAATATACGAAGTTTCAGTTAGAAAGGAGGAATAAGTTCTGGTGTATTTTTTTTTTTGTCTTTTGTTTTTTTAGAGACAGGGTCTCACTCTGTCTCCTGGGGTGGAGTACAGTGGCACAATCATAGCTCACTGTAGCTTTGAACTCCTGGGCTCAAGTGTTCTTCTCACTTCAGTCTCCCAAGGACCTAGGACCACAGTTGCATATAGTCTAATGCACCTATAATTTTTTTGTGGTGTTCTATTGCACAGTATGGTGACTATGGTGAACAATAAGGTACTGGATATATTTCAAAAGAGCTAAAAGAGGATTTTAAATGTTCTCATCACAAAGAAATGGTAAACATCTGAGGTGATGGATAGGCTAATTAGCCCGATTTGATCATTCCACAATATATGTATATTGAAACATTGGGTACCCCATAACTACGTACAATTATTATTTGTCAGTTAAAAGTAAAACAACAAGAAAGACAAAGACATAGGGTCTCCAAGATGTTGTTTGCTCTGCTCTAAGCATATCCCTCTTCTAGAGATAGAGCCAGTGGCTGACAAGTGATGCAGCTAATTTCACTAGACCTAAGTACCTTGAGAGGTGTATTCAGGGGAGTAAACATTCGCTCCATTACTGTTGCCCTAAACTTAACAAACCCTCACACCCCCTCAACACAGGCAAAGTCAGGGCAGAGCCTTAGATAGTATTGTAGCTCATGGTAACCTGAAGGACAATCTAGAGCATCCCTCAGCTTGCAGATGAGGAGGTTGAGGCACAAGAATGTGGCTTCTTAAGGTCCCCTGTCTGGTTAGGGGCACAGCTAAGCCCAGGACTTAGGTGGCTGACCAACTCTTTTCACTTTCTGAACTACTGGGAGACATGCTCCTCTTGTACTTGGTTTTGATAGTACCATGCCTGGTGACATTTGCAAGAGGTACAGCTGATCTTGTCTTCATGGATGAGGACGGCTCTGAGGATGAAAAGATATAAGGCATGTAAAGCACCCAGGTGCCCCCACACAAGTGACCGATAAACAATAACTCCTCAAAACTGCAGAGCTAAGAGAAAGGTGACCAAACACTCGAGCACTGCTAAGGAGCTATTTCATGGAGCCAGTTTAAGGTTGAAAGTCATCTGGCTATTTACCCACTTTATATAAATACACAGGCACACGCATATTCATAAAGACGCCACTATGCTTTAGGAAGGCACGTACCTCACTGTTGGCACTTTCCACAAATGACCCGCCGAACATAGCTGCCATCCACTCACAGCTACAGATCAGCAGTGGCTTGTGGGCACTGATGGCTCCATCGTCCAATTTAAATGTCACGTCTGCCAAGGAATTGAGGAAACACAACCATGAGCCAACTTTGCTGAGAGCTTCAACCAAGGTTTCTGCTCCAATATCCACTGACTTGCGTCTCTCTCACTCTCTCGCATGTCTTTACTTGCTGATTTTATGTCAATCCCCATCTTTGGGCTTTGGCACACCCAGCTCCCACCTAAGGGAGCATGCTGCATTTAACATCATCACACATAAAGTCACGGCACAAACTCTCTGAACCAGAAAGTAACAGAAAGGAGGGAATATTTTTTCCTCCTTACTATGCAAAACTTCAAGCATATAAAACAGTGGAACAAACTATGATGACCACTCATTTATCCCTTGTTAACATTTTGGCATGTTTGTTTTAGGTATATTTTTAATTTACACCATTTTACTTATTAATACTCAATTAAACCTTACATTTACAATATGCTCTACTTGTATGCTATACTGAAACGTAACCAAATTACTGTTTTCTTAAGAGATGTCGGGGGGTCTGGTTATGATGCCGAGTCTAGATTTAAACTGCCGGGTTCCAGTAATCCTTCTGTCTCAGTCTCTGAAGTAGCTGGGACTATGGGCAAATTAGTCACCATGCCCGGCTATATGTGTATTTTTGTATAATTCTATATATGTGTATAGCCTTTTTTTTTTTTTTAACAGATAGCATGGCACTTCACTCCTAACTACCTTATCACAAGTTTTCCCAAAATAACAACAGTCTCCTAAATAACCATACCATGATTACACCTAAGAAAATTAAAAATAATTCCCTACTATCATCCACTATATAGTTCATATTCAAATTTCTCCAATTATCTCTAAATTGTATTTCATAGCTTTTTTTTTTTATAAAAAAATATAACAGAATCCAACTGAGACTCCCACATTGTATTTGATTATTATGCCTCTCCAGTAAGGAGGGGTGATTTAATCAGCTCTACCTAAGGCTCACTTTTAAGTTACTGTAGGTTTGTAACATATTCTTTTCATTGATTTTCAAGACTACTTCTGTACCACAATGGCCAGTGTTTGAAGTAAATACTACTCATAAGCTTTAAAATGAATGAACTGAGTCTTCAGGAACCACTTACTAAATGTGTAGTGCCCTGGCAGGGATTATAAAAGATAAAGACAAAGGTAGAGGTATCCATATAAATAGAAGTCAGGAAGTCAACATTTTACAATGAAATTACACACACCCACACACCCACCCAGAGGACAATTTCAGAACAAAAATAGTCCAAGTGTAAGACAGTGCAAACATGGGTCAATAACCCATATTGGATGCGGGCCACCAGCGGGCTTAGCAATTATGAAAGGGTGCTGTGGGCAGCATATGGCATAGTTATCAAAGGCATAGGAGGTGCAAGAAAACTACAGAAGTGCAGGGCCAAGGAGCATGAGGACAGAAAAGGAGAGGGGATGGAAACAGATGAGGCACCCCTTGTAGGAAGGTGGAGGGCCACCAAAATTGCCTCAAGGACTTTAGTGGCCTCAGAACTTGAGCTCACTGATTTTTGTCAAGGGTCAGTGCTGAAGGGTCAATGGAGAATAGAATTGGTCAGAGAATAGATACTGAAGGGGAATTGTATGCAACAAGCCCACTGGAGATAGACTCGGGGTCCCTGATCCACTCTTGAGGAGCAGCATGGTACCACGGTGGTTTATGGAACAGGTTTTGATACCCACAAAAGCATAGGTTCTAATCCTGGCTCTACCATTTATTGCTGGTGTGACCATGGACAGATTAGCTAACCTCTCTGTCCCTTGGTTTCCCCATCTACAAAATGGAGACAATCACATTTAACCTTTAAGTCTGAGGAGGATGAAAGAAGTTAATGACTGTAGCTTAGAAAGGTACATGGGAAAAAATAAGTACTTATAAATGTTAGCTATGGTTCTTCTTTCTCCTGCTCATGTCTGGCTCATGTCCAGTGAAATACAATCAAAGGTATTAATGGCTCTGCCCTGCAGCCCACTCACCTGAGAACGTCCCCTTGCTGAGACACTCTTTTATCCGATTGGCTTTCCTGACGTGAAAGGCTTTCGTAATCTCCTGGTTCATGAAGGCTTCCTTGTTCATGATGTTTTCCACCATCATCCTCAAATCGAACATCTCTAGGACCTCTGCGATCTGAGCCAGGCCCACCAAATCCTTTTCCTTTTCATCCAGTTGTCCTGTATAAAGAAACTGGAGCAGGGTCCGAAAAGGGCCTGGCTGGACTGAGGCGTCCATCCTGACTACAGTCACAGGGCCCACCCGCTTTGAAATGGGGTTGACTTGCATTTCCCTGTGCATGCCAATGAACCCCTTACTCCAGTCGGCCAACGTCTGTGTCTCAGGGACTGCACCCTCGGCTTCCAGCCCCAGAGCCTCCACTAGGCTCTTGTTTGAGGACTTCCACTGCTCGGCCTGAGGTGTCCTAGGCGGGCCCTCCTCCCTTTCCTCCTCTGAGTCGACACTCAATATCTGCTCCTGGAAATCTCTGCTCTGCTTCTCTTTCTCACAAGCTCCTTCACTCCAATTTGGGGATTCTTCACATTCCATTAAAAACAGATCATAAAATTTGGAAGAAGAGGTAGCAAGGTAAATTCGATGTGCAAAGATGTGTTCCTGGTCCTGAAGGATGAACAGAACATCGGCACACAGAGGATTGTCCAGTAAACAGGCAGCTTCACTTGTCCCCATGGAAGGACATTCTGGAATTTTGATGACCGGTGGAGGGGCTTTTGGAGGTAGGAAGGGTGCCTGAAGTAAAGGTTTCTGGACTTTCTTTAAGTGGGATTTCCAGAATTGCAGGTGCCTGCGGGAAATCAGCGCTGCTCGGATTGCATTGTCAAACACATCCTTGATCCCAAACTGGTCAAACACGCTTGTTTCATAGTATGGTATGCCAAGTTCCTTCGCTACCTCTCGGCCTTTTTCTGGGGGCAAAATATCCCCTCTCTTTATGGGCCTGAAATAGAACATTTTAAAAATTATAATCAGCCTTATTTTAGGAAAAAAATAGTAACCAGGGCCTATCTAAGCACCTAAGGGAACTATACACTGAAAACTCTAGTCAGGCTTTTAGTCTCTGGCAAAATCTGCCACCATCTCAAGTCTTTCAACTGGAGCTATGATTGCAGGAGTTATGATTGCAGGAAAAAACAATGCTTTCAAATATTTCAGAGTTTCAATGCACATAATTTGTGAAGCTTATCCATAAATATTCCATGTTTTTATGTTATTATAAATGGCACTGTTTTTAAACTTTATTTTCCAATTGTTCATTTCTTAGTTTATACAAATACAAATGATTTTTGTGTATTGACCTTTTATCCTGTTATTTTGCTAAATTAACATGTTAATTCTGATAGCTTTTTTTGTAGATTCCTTAGAACTTTTCATTTACATGACCATATGCCTAAATAGGGAGAGTTTTACTTCTTTAAAAAACAAATGCTCTCAGCAGTAACCACAGTAACTGAAGTATCATCCCTTTACTAGCTATTCAATCTTGGGTAAGTTACTTAACCTCATTAAACATAAATTTTTCCAACTGTAAAACAGGAATAATAATAATAATGAGTAATCATATCTTGAAGAACTATTGAAAGGTTTACATTATTAGCATGACTATGCTAAGCATAGTATCTGGTCCACCGTAAGTGCCTGATAAATGTTAGCTGTTATCATCATTATCACTATTCTCTTCATCACCTTCATCTTTATCAACAACATCTTATGCTTGAATTTTACTTTATAACTTTAAAATGCATTCATATACATTTTTCATTTGAGCCTCACAATAGCCCTGTGAGGTATTATTTCTGTTCTACATTCTTAGGAAACTGAGGCAGAAAGGTTAAAGGGTTTGTCTGAGGTCACATTTGCAGGCTGCTGAGAGACCTCTACTAAACAATTAGAGTCAAGACTTTCTCACTCCTAATCTCTGCTGCATTTTGTGAATTCTCTTTCAAACCCTCCTCTTCTTTTTTCCTCCAATCCCTTCTTCAAGCCATCATCATCTTTTGCTTAGACTGGTGTATCAGCCCCTTAACTAATCTTTCTTCATACCCACTCCCCACATTTTGGTCCAAAGTCCTCACTGTTGCAAGAAAAGTCCTTACATAAAACAGCTATGACTTGGCCGCAGTTCTGTTTTAACTTCCTCTGATTTCACAAAGCCCCAGGAATAAAGTCCGTACTCTTTAGGTTGGCACACAAGTCCAATTTACAGTCTAATCAAACCCTGAGAGGACAAATCTTTGGAAACAGTAGACTCAGGGCAGTGCTGGGGTTATGGCATAACCATGGTAAAGGCATAGATGGGTTCCAGAACACAGGCAGGAAGTACTTTGTTGTGACACTCATTACAAACACTTGCTTGATTCTAATACATACCCTTAGGAACTTATCTTCTTATATAAATATTTGGCCTTCAACACCAAAGGTAATATATAGGACAGACACTGGTCTTAGGAGGAAAAAGATGATACTGGATAGAATTTGGAGTTGACGACTTAGATGGAAAGGAGGGGAAATTATAGGGTGTGGACAAAGGTGGAAGGGATGTGCAGGGAAAAAGGTTTAACTTAAAAGTTTGCTCCTGTGAGCATTGTGTTCCTTGTTCTTAAGACTGACTTGAAATTTACCAACTGATGAAACTCTTCAAGGCTTAGCTCAGATACAAACTCCTTCACAAAATCTTAGAATTGCTCCGTAGAAGGGATTGTCCTCTCCACTGTTCTCTACAGCTCTGCAACTCTCCTCCAGTCCATGACTGTGAGGCCTGATTATCATAACCTACTCTTTTTATACAGAAAGTTGCCGAGGCCAGGACAGTCTCTCATTTACTGTGGTCTTCCTAACTTCTATGTGGCTCCTAATATTCAATTCCTAGTCCATGCATTGAAGAACAGAAGGATTGTGGAAACTGAATATAAAGTGTTTTTAGAAATGTAATGCAAAACATACCTAGAACATCAGAAATTGTCTAAAGAAAGCACCATTTACTTTTGCTTGGAGAGAATAAAAAGTTGTGTCAATATAAAATTTTGTAATAAGCCTATTAGGTAAATGTCAAAATAAGATTTTGTTTGTTGTTGTTGCTGTTTGCTTTTTTTTTTTTTTTTTTGAGACAGGGTCTCGTTCTGTCACCCAGGCTGGTGTGCAGTGGTGCAACCATGGCCCGCTGAAGCCTTGTCCTCCCAGGTTCAGGTGATCCTCCCACCTCAGCCTCTCAAGTAGCTGAGTGCACCACTAGTCCTGGTTGATCTTTTTTTTACTTTTATTTTTCTAGTGACGTGGTCTCACTATGTTGCCCAGGCTGGTTTCAAACTCCTGGCGTCAAGTGATCCTCCCACCTTGGCCTCCTGAAATGTTGGGTTTACAGGCGTGAGCCACTGTGCCCAGCCTAGAGGAAGGTATTAATATCAAAAGTTTTTGAAAAGGAATGCTCTCCAGCCAAAAAGTTCAACATAAAAATAAAAACATAAAAAGTTGTTTATTTTATAAAGGGGATTTGAGGGAGCTCACATTTTAAGAAATGTATTTCCCTCCATATGGTTTGGCTATGTCGCCACTCAAATCTCATCTTGAATTGTAGTTCTGATAATACCCATGTGTGATGGGAGGGACCCGGTGAAAGGTAACTGAATCATGGGGGCGGCTTCCCCCATGCTATTCTCATAATAGTGAGTAAGTTCTCACAAGATCTGATGGTTTTTATAAAGGGCATCCCCCTTTGCTCGGTTCTCATTCTTCTCTCTCCTACCGCCATGTAAAGAAGAATGTGTTTTCTTCCCCTCTGCATGATTGTAAATTTCCTGAGGCCTCTGCAGTCATGCTAAACTGTGAGTCAATTAAACCTCTTTCTTTTATAAATCACTCAGTCTCAACTATCTCTTTATTAGCAGCATGAGAATGGACTAATATACCCCACCAAAATCATTATCTACATTTTATATATACTGAAACAAATTCTCCTTCAAGTTGTATTTTACATTTGTGATACTTAAAAATATAACCACTAGAGAGATTTAAAAAGCAGTATTTGTTTGTTTTGCAACTATAGGTCCAAATTATTTTCAAAAAGTGGACAGTGTCATCTTGAGAATGAAATATTGTAACAGGTTGGACTGAGGAATACAAGGAAGATGAAATACACTTCAATATGTGTGTTTGTATGAATCTGATGTTCTCTGGAGTCCAGATACCTCTAAGTGTTAATTAATTTTATTGTAATAATTATAATTTCAAGGATGACGTTATTATGAGTAACCAACATTTTGTCTAATACTTTATGCTTTTCAAAGTGCTTTTATTCACATCCTTTCATAATTAGAGAATTTACTTCAAGTGCTGTCCAATCATTTGACAAAAATGAGTTCTGACACCAGAGATGATGGTGCCTGTTAGAAGGGCTCAGGGCACACCCCTCATGATTCATGGGCTGACTTAAAGCCCATGGCTGATTGATGGGATCCAGGAGTGTTGAAGAGCAGAACACCAGGCTACAGAGACACCTGCTGCCTGTAAATTTTAACTTGGCCAGGACAGGGAAACACTGACTCCCTTGGCTTACCTTGCTAATGGGCGCCTGGCTCGATTAACAGCTTCCAGGTCGGCGTAGCGGAGATCGAGCTGGCACCCAACAAGGACAACAGGTGTTCGAGGGCAAAAGTGCTTGATTTCTGGATACCACATGCTTTTCACATGATTTAGGGAATTGGGATTAGCGATTGAAAAACAGAGGACCACAACATCGGACCTAAAAGGAAATCACAAAAGAAGCTTGTATTGCCTTTTAACATTTCTTTTTCTTTTACCATTATGGTTCCTCCCAAACCCCATTCTTCTAATGCCATCTCATGTCACAGTTAAAAAAAAAGAAAAGACCAGATATTAAAACACATCTTGGAGTCATGCAAACAGCCTGATAAGCCCCCACATTCCAGCACCAACACAGCCTAACAGTTCATGTCCATATTGCACTGCAGAATGCTGATGCATTGACGTTTCCGATGAAGTTTTATTATGGTAGAGATGATAACCCAAACTTGTCTCAGTCCTGGAACCACAACATGCTGAACTATTTCTCTTCATCACAAGAAATAGTTTCAAGAGAAAAGAAAATAATACAAACTACCTTTCACCAGTTTAAACAACATAAAGGTGATGATGACTCATCCCAATGAGATAAAGCAAACAGTTTAAACATTACTGAAAATGTAACAAGTATTTGCTGTACAGGGTCAGCAAATACACAGAAGGATTTCTGCCCTTCTTCCCACTTATGCACACATGTAGACAGCATAGCCACTTATCTGTTTCCAAAAAGAAAAATCCTGAATTTGCAGGAATTTTGACTCTTTACTAAGTAAGGCAAGAAGGTAATATTTAACATGTAACTAGGCAAGAATTAGATTGATGGCTAACAAGATGAGAAAATATTGGAAGCAGATTTCTCAAATGTTACATGAGATACAAAGCAGGTATATGGGGAAAAGAAAAACTGCTTTATAGTAAATTTTGACATAAGGGTCTTCCATTTTTACATCATAACTTACCATTCTAGAAGTCAAAGAACTATTTTACAAAACAGTTGTCCAATTATGGTGTTTGATAAATATCTGCTAAAAGGTATCCTTCACAGGAATTACAAACCATCATTCTAGGTTAAAATGTGCTGAATGATGACTTTCAAAACACTGAGGCAAAAGGATATAAAGAGTAAGAAAAGTTACGCCCAAGGATTCAAGACTATCTTGTGGCTAAATTCAGAAATAAACTCTTATAGTTTCATTTGATGTTAATTTATTGCCTTTATTGTTTATGTAATGAGAAGAATCAAGTCGATGAATCAAAACACCTTCCTTTTAAATCATTAATGAGCTTTCCCCCCTACATATCAATGAAGAGAAACAAATATACGCAGGCAACCATAAAATTTCTAAAAATAATCATTTGCAATGCAGAAAACTGTAGGGTGCTTACATTAAATGTAATTCACAAGCTGTGTCTTTAAATTTATATCCAAGAAAAGCTGCACCAGACCACAACAAATAGAGGAGAAAATCCTGAGATTAAAATATTTCCAAATTATAAAAGAGGACCTAGGACTTAAAGCAGATGAATGTATTAATCTGAATGTTCAGAATCATCTTGAATAAAGATACCAAGATTCTTGGATGCTGGGATAATATGAGTGAAAATATGCATAAATATATAAATGAAAAGGAAACGTCTTGTCTTTGGGATTCTGATTTACTTAGTGAAATATTCTGTGCTCAGTCTTACTTACAATCAGCATAAATAACAGTATCCAGTAAAGCCAAGAATGCTTTGAATTTTACATTTTTTATGGGCTGAGTTTTCTATTATTCATAATCCTATTTATATCAGGTATCTGATGAGACTCTGCTATAAGCTTCATTCTGATCATAAAATAAAGCCACCAAGAATTTTGGCACAGTGAGAATAGAATGAGAATATCTGAGGTTCAAAATTATACAAAAAGAATTGAGGAAATATATCCAGCACCTAAATGTGTTATAATACGTATAAAATAGTTCTAATTGGTGCCTTCTATTTCCCTATTAAGGCACATGGCTCTAAGGGGAATCGTTCTCAGAGCTTAATTTATATGACAGACATGTAGCTAAATGTCAATTCTGTTCTCTAATTTTATGATACAGCATGTGAGGTTTTGAAATCAGAGCTATCTTGGTTGTCAAGGTTACCATGATAACACTCATGGTATTGAACACATACTAGCTGCTATCCATATGACCTGTAAACAAGTACAGACAGGACCTTGGGGGTTGGAAAAAAAGGAATCTTGTGATGATAGCAGCACAATGCCATCACACAATACAGGTCCTGAGGGCCCAACTTCTAACTATGTCACATCAATATTTAAATGCATGAAATGCCATTGGAAAGCTGGAAAGATAATTCAATGTCCTATAAATATTTTGCCTCAAAATAATGATAAAGAAAAGAGGTTGTTCTGAGAGCAATACTAACTCTGAAGATAAAATAACTTATTGAGTCAAAATTCTATTTGTATATCAGAATAAAGGTCTTTTTTTTCATATTCACATTTAGGTGCTATAAGAATCTGTGCTCATTATTTTACACTGAAAGCAGTTAAAAAATAAGATAATTTTTTTTTTTTTGAGACAGAGTTTTGCTCTTGTTGCCCAGGCTGGAGTGCAATGGCATGATCTCAGCTCACGGCAACCTCTGCCTCCCAGGTTCAAGCGATTCTCCTGATTCAGTCTCCTGAGCAGCTGGGATTGCAGGCATGTGCCACCATGCCCAGCTAATTTTGTATTTTTAGTAGACAGGGGGTTTCTCCATGTTGATCAGGCTGGTCTCGAACTCCCGACCTCAGGTGATCCACCCACCTCGGCCTCCCAAAGTGCTGGGATTACAGGCGTGAGCCACCACACCCGGCCGAAGATCATATTTTAAGTACCACAATGCTTAAATGTCTTTTGGTTAACCTTGTTGATCTAAATACAAATGTAAGTTAAGAAAACTTTATATAAAGATTACATAAAATTCTATTCTTAAGGTCTGCCATATGAATGTAACTCCCTAAAACCAAGTTTAACCAAAAGGCTGAGCATTGGGAATCAATGGACACAGTGACAGAGCTATAGAAAGATGTTGCTTTGATGCATTTCTCCTTACCAACATTCTTTTCTAATTCCTAATTCTCAACACACCAGTATCCTCTGTGATATAAACACATATACAATCAAGTAACTATTTTCAGAATGCCATTTATTCTCTCTAGATTTTGAGCCATTTTTTTTTTTTAAATCTAGTCAAAGAAGGCACAAGACCTGCAGCTAAGAATATCTCCAGCTTTAGGCATAATGCCAAGGAACTAGAGATATTAAATAACTTTTAATCAAAACATACATTCCCATGTGGAGACTGTTCAATGTCTGACATAAGCTTGTGTTTAAAAAATACCATTCCTCTGAAAGATAAAAAGAAACAGGCAAGTTCTAGCATTTCTATTTCTATGGCTCTGTTACATTTTTTAACTTTGAAGAGTCAGTTTAAAAATAATTGGGAGTGGTGAGTGTGATGAGGACATTCTCACATATCAGGCATAGGGTTAGTCTAGAAATGACCTCAGGGGTCCTGTTTCAGCTGTAAAAAGAATCAAATAGGATTTAAATGGAGTCCTGCAGCTATTTGGGGTAGAAAGCATAAGAATTCGAGAATGCAGAGGCAGAGTACAGGGGACATGAGATTGTAAACTCCAGAACCTGAATACTGAGAAGGGGTAGGAAGGAGTTTGGAATGTTTATTGTATTTACTTTTATTACATATTTAAAGTTTCACTGGGCTAAACAGTTTTATTAGAGAAAGCCAGAATTACAAAGGACTTCAGGGTATATGGTCTTAGCTGCTTGCCCATGGAATGTTTATATCTTAGGGAAAAATGACTTCTTCTTTCTAAGGAGAAAATATCAGTATAAAAATTTCACTGGGTACTAACACATCAAATAATGTCCATGAAATAGTGTTTTGACTAGTCAAGTCAAAAACAATCTGAAATAAATTGAAATGTTGAAACAATTGGGCATCTTGTTTCATAGAGTGAATCAGAGAGACCAAGTCATCCAAAAATGCCTGAGCTGATAAAGCCAAGCTCAGCTGCATCAGTTTTACTTCAGATATTAAACAAACCAAAAAAGCATATATTTTTTTCAGTTATCTTTCGAGGGGAACACTGGCCAAAGATAGCATGTGAAAGATTGGCAAGGATATTTGAATAACATAAGGAGTACATGCAAAGTTGGGACCAATCTTTGTTGGAGGATTAAAGAAAAAAAAATCCAAAAAAAGTGCATCTTACCCACATATCTTGGCCCTAGCTAGACTTTGAACAGCAAAATACCACACATGTTCTCAGAGACTGTCTTTATAATGTCTACAGTCAAATATAGCAGAGTCAGTGGGAAAAGATCGGAGAAGCAACCAGAAGCTAAACTTTTTTTCCAATCTGAAATACCAAATTCATCCTTTGAAGACGTGGTCAGAAAAGGGTTGATAATCAGTAACAAACTTTTATTGTTAAATGAATTTTCTTCTAAGTTCTTTCCCGTCACAAAAGTACTCTGTTTTCTTAGTTTGACTTTCCTTTACCGGTCCCATCTATTTTGCCACTATCATCCAGCTGAGGAGCTGTGGGCCTTGGGTTTTCTTACCTGGTTAAGTGAAAGAATAATTCTGACATTATCTTTTTATCTAGAAACTTCAGATCAGGTCATTTTTACAGGCAATGAGGACGGTGGACTCCACCGAGCTCTCCAGAAAGCTGTGAGTGGGACAGCCAAATGCCCTTCTCCAGTGTGTCTGAGTCTGGTTGGGTCTCTTGATACATTAACACTTGGTGACCAAGAATAAGCTAATAATTGTGTGTATATATATATATGTGTATATATATATAATTTTTTTTGAGATGGAGTCTTGCTCTGTTGCCCAGGCTGGAGTTAAGTGGCTCAATCTTGGCTTACTGTAACCTCTACTGCCTGGGTTCAAGCAACTCTCCTGCCTCAGCCTCCTGAGTAGCTTGGATTACAGGTGCATGACCATGCCTGGCTAATTTTTTGTATGTTTAGTAGAGATGGGGTTTCACCATGTTGGCCAGGTTGGTCTTGAACTCCTGACCTTGTGATCTTCTCACCTCGGCTTCGCAAAGCGCTGGGATTACAGGTGTGAGCCACTGCGCCTGGTTGCTAA